TGCAGCATCAGGATTGGAGGAAGACTTAACTGACAGCCTGCAATATGTAGATAAGACAACCTTGCTTGCTGAAAGTAACACTGATGAACTGGAAAAGAAGTGCAACATTCAGTATGGATTGCAAATCAATGTAAAGAAAACCAGAATCCTCCCAACTGGCCTTTCGGCATTGTGGTGAAGGGAGAAAAGACTGAGGTCAAGGATTTCATCTTGCCGAGTCCACAATGAGTGCTCATGGAAGTAGCAGTCAAGAAATCAGATGAGTATCACATTGGGCATATCTGCACAAGATCTCTTCCAAGTGTTGGAAAGCAAAGATGTCACTTTTAAGAACCAAGGTGTACCTGACCCAAGCCGTTGTATTTTCAGTCACTCCATATGCATGTGAACATTAGACCATGAATAAGGAAGACTTGATATGTATGAATTATGGTACTGATGAAGAATACTGAAAGTATCATGTACAACTAGAAAAATAAAACAATCTGTTTTAGCAGAAGTACAGTCAGAATGCTCCTTGAAAGGGAGGGTAGTGAACTTTGCCGCAAGTCCTCTGGATATTGTCAGGAGAGGCAGTACCTGTTAAAGAGCATCATGCTTGGTAAACTAGAGAGTCAGCAAAAAAGAGGAAGACCCATGACTGTGTGGTTGACAGTAACTGAACAATGGGGTAAAATGTTAGCAATTGTTAGAATAGTGCTAGACCAGGCAGTGTTTCTTTTGTTGTACATAGGGGCACTCTGAATCAGAGTATACTCAACGGTATCTAACAACAACAGTAGTTTTACTCACTGTCAGAACCTCCGGGTTTGTGCATGTTGTGGCAGTTACATAATCTGTTGTCAATTTGAGACAATTGCGGGTAAATGAGTGAAGTTGAGCCAGTTACTCAGATCGCAGCTTGATGACCTCATTTGGAGGTGCTAAGGCAATAAATATCTCACTGGAGCTTAGCTCACTTCCAGCTCACACACTTCCTGTGAGACATTCCTGTTAAAAAGCCACATGGAGTTATGCTGATGACAGACAGAGCCCTGGAGCGGAAGGAGCCACGTGGAGACCCATACCAGCGTTGAGATGCTTAAACCACCATGGATCCACCCACTGGCCTGTGATTTCCCTATACACCACACATAGATCTAAATGTAAGGGCTGAAAAATGTATAAAAGTAAATCTATGTTACATTGGACAAAGCTAAGGTTTCGTAGATTTTATACCCAAAGCACAAGGAACAAAAGAAAAAATATAAACTGAATCTTATCAAAGTGAATATATATTTCAGAAAATACAAGCAAGAAAAAAGATAGCCCACCAAAAGGGAGCAAAATGTGAAAATGCTATATCTGACTAGGAGATTGTATCTAAAATATGTAAAGAACTCAATACAGTAATAAAAAGACAGCCCACTTAAAAATGTACACAGACTCCTAACAGACATTTCTCAAAAGGACAGTCCCAATGGCTAGTAAGTACTTGAAAAGATGCTCAGAATCGTTAGCCATCAGACAAATGTAAATCAAAACCACAACAGTGTTTAATTTTATTTCCATTAGCATGGCTGTAATAAAAAGCATCAATAAATAATAATAATTGTTAACAAGGATATGGAGACATTTCCAATAAGAATATAAGATGGTGCAACCTTTGAAAACTGTCTTGATACGTCAAAAGATTAATATAGCGTGACCTACCACAGGACCCAGCTATTCCTCTCTAAACTATAAAGTCAAAAGAAATGAAAACGTGCATTTGTATATGTCCACATATAAATGCATCCATGAAGGCTTATAGCAGTGTTATTCATAATAGCCAAGAAGTGCAATAATGAACCTGCATAGCTATTAACTGATGAATAGGTACAGAAACGTGACATACCTGTCCTGTGGAAAATTATTTGGCAATGAAAAATACTGACATCATGGCAACAACATGGAATGGCTTCCAACATGAGAAAAGGAAATCCAGCGCCAAACTCTGTGCCATCAGGTCAATTCTGACTTTACCGGGATAGAAAACAACCTCTATCTCCCAAAGTGTGGCTGGTGATTTCAAACTGCCGACTTTGCAGTTAGCAGCCCAATGCAAAACCCATTCTGCTACTGGGACTCCAACAATGGAGAAAGTCAGTAACAAAGGACCACACAGGGAAAGCTACAAAGAAGTAAATCAGTGGTGACTTGGGTTGCTATGGTGCCCTGCTAGCATAGTAGTTATATATTAGGCAGCCAACCACAAGGTCAGCAGTTTGAAACCACCAGCTGCCCCGCTGAAGAAAGACGAGGCTTTCTACTCCTGTAAAGAGTTACAGTCTTAAGAACCTACATGGGCAGGTCTGTCCTGTCCTATGGGATCACTGTGAGTCGACGTTGGCTCGGTAGCAGTGAGTGAGAAGAAATGGAGAATGGCTATTAATGAGTATAAGGTTTCTTCCTATTGGAGTGATAAGAATGCACCAGTCTGATAGTGATAGTGGTTGTATAACTGAATATATTTTAAAAACCACTGCCTTGTATACTTTACATGGATAAATTGTTGTGTGAATTATAGCTCAATAAAACTCTTATTAAAGAAAAGATCGAGTCCAGTGGATAGTTTGGAGGATATTCAGGATTCCCATATCCAGTTGTTCTGAGCCCAGGTTTTCAGGTTGCCACAGGCCCATGTCCAAGGCTCTTTGGAATGAAGTTTTTCCTTCATGTCTGCTGTATCAGTTTACCCTCTGAGTTGAGCTTTGACTTGTTACCCATTTGTAAGATTGGTTTGGAATTTACTTTTAAATTGGTTTGGAATTTACCTCTAGGATTTGGGAAAGCTGGTGGACCCCAAATAGATAACCTGGTCCATTGGAATAATGGAGAAGAACCAAAAGCATCCAAAATCTAGCAGGACTTCTAAGGCGGACAGACATATTTCATGATGTCGCAGTTGCTGCATGGGACCTATACTGTTGAATCTGTATGGCCAATTCAGCTGTTGTACTGCCCTGCCAGTGCTGTTGCTGTGAGCATAAAGACATTGATCTCACTGTGGCCTCTTCTCCTAACCAGAAACTGACAGTGGCTTCCTTTTACAAACCAACTAAACCTGCTAGCTAAGACCTTCCCTTTTCTGTGGCAGTGCAGAGGCAAAGAATTATGTACAATGGAACAAAACTTCACAATTATTCTTGTGTTGTAGCCCATTATTGTAGACACTGTGTCAGTTCATCTCCTTTTGCTGACGCTTTGCTTTTCCAAGTATGATGTCCTTCTCCAAGGCCTGGTCTCTCTTGCTGCCATGTCCAAAATATGTGAGATGACGTCTTGTCACCCACTCTTTTAACGAATATACTGGCTATCCTTCCTTGAAGGCAGTTCATTTTTCATAGTCTATGGGATGTTTGTATTTTTCAAAGACATCCTAAGTCAAGGGCATCAGTTATTTTCTTAATCCTCCAACCATCCTATGCAGAGGAAGAGATGGAAAATGCCATGACTTGCACGTTAGTCCTCAGGGTAACATCTTTACTTCTTAAGATTCTGAAGAGATCTTCTGTAGCAGACATGCCCAGTGCAAAACAGTGGTTGATGTCTTGGCTGCTGCTTGCACGGGCACTGATTATGGATCTAAATAAAATGACACCCTTGACAACTTCTATCTTTCCTCCATTTATCATGCTGTTGCTTTTTGGCCCAGTTGTGAGGATTTTTATTTTCTTTATACTGAGACGAAATCTATTTTGAAGGTGGTAGTCTTTGATTTTCATGAATCTTTGTTTCAAGTGTTTTTTACTGCCCTATTTGCAACCCATCAGTTTTACAAAGTCCTGCACCTTTTATTAGGAGCCCTGTTTGGCTTAGTGGATTACGCATTAGTTGCTAACTGCAAGATCAGCAGTTCAAAAATCACCAGCTACTCCTTGGGGAAAAGATGAGACTTTTTATTCCCATAAAGACTGACAGCCTCAGAAACCCACAGGGGAGTTCTTTCTTATAGCGTCTCTATGAGTCAAAATGGATTGGATGGCAGTGTGTGTGTGGGGAGAGGGGGGCGTTTGAGCTTTTAACCTTTTATTGCTTTGTATTGTTTTTCGCTATTTTACATTGTTAACTGTATCATCTCTCCTAAAATACAAATTTGATTCTAGGAGACAGTTTATTTCAATCTGTTATTTTTATTTCCCCTGTGCTTACTTTATTTCTAAGTACATAGCAGGCTCTTAGTACAGAGTTCACTTGGAAATTGACTGCACCTAACTTTACACAAGCCAGGAAAAGATGGATGATGAGATAGTTGAAATTTGCCCCTGCCACAGTCTTCAGTCTTATATGCAGAGACATGTCTTTGGGATTATGTTTTCAGCCCCCGAGTAGGCTGAAGATGATCCCAGCTTAGTTTATTGTCCTGCAGTGCTGGTCTCTGGAAAAGACTTGTTCTTTTGCTTTACTCTGCTGGGAAGGTGTGTTGACCCTTTTATAGGGCTATTGTTCTCTTCTCAGTAGTTGGCTCTGCTTTCTCAAATTCCACCTTTTGCCATTCATAGTAGAGACGTACTAATCGTCTGTTTCCAAGCTCTTTCTGTGTGTGTTAAATTTTGATGTAGTGGCATTTCTAGGGCTAGTCTAAGGCCTGTATTGATTGAACAAATATGTACATGCCTGCTTTGTGCCAGTAGGCATCCTAGATGGTGGTGAAAGAAAAGAACTAATACCCCAGTCTTTCATTAGTGTTGCTTGTAGGTTAGTCTTAGTTAAAATAAATAAACAAAGTGAAATAATCAAAAGGAACCTAAAAACTACCTTGTCAAGATGAAGGGGGTTTTCAAAGGGAATATTATTTTTATTGCTTAACATCCGTAGCATGACTGTTCGGGTGTTTTCTCTAGATAAGAGAGTTTGCTATTGCTAGATTTTCTGCTAACTTTATCAAGTTTTTGCTTGTAATCTCATTGATAATGCACCAAATGTAAGCTAACAAATTTGAAAATACAATTATGTGACTTTCCATTTATGTTGTGTAGGTGAGTGCTTGGAAAAGAATCTGGATAGCTCACCAACATCTGATGACCTTGGAGGGTGAGCAAGTCAGCCATGTCTTACACTCCAGGGATCGGTGGTGACCCTGCCCTGCTGGCCCAGCGCATCTCTTCCAACATCCAGAAGATTACACAATGTTGTGAGTTGATTTTTAAATGGGCTCAATTAGTTTGTTTTTAATTCTCAACTTAATGGAAGTTCATATAGATTACCAGTGGCAGGCACATTAATGAAATCTAGGTCAAAATGGATGCTTATATTTGCTCAAAAACCATTTGGCTCTAAATGAGATTAATGAAACTTTTTAACAGAATCCCATAGATTTTTTAACCACAGCACACTACCAAGACTTTAAAGGATATGTGTTTATTAAAAATAAAATCCAATTGGCTAGGATCTAGGTTACTTTGTAAAGGGCAAACACATGATACATGATTAATGAGCGGGAAAGGATTTAAGAGGGTACATTTTAATGATGGAGGCAGATTTTAACAATGGCATTGACTACATCTGTCAGAGGTAGAACACCAGTAGAATGATACAATGTGACATTTCTTTTAAAAATATTACAGGTCAAAATATGCAAGAGGAAAATATAGACAGTATAGTAGACTTGAACTTTTGAATGTTTTTGTGTTGCTAGTTACAGTTAATCACACATCGTGGATTATTCTAGGCAATTGTTTTGCAGTGTTTGGTCCTTTGGGCATTTACCTGAACTCCTTCAGACGATGTTACATGTTTCCTTCTTGGGTCTACTTCCTTATGGTGACTTTCTTCATAGGAACATGTGAACGCACTGCTGAAAGATGCGGTGGTTGCGCATGATCATACTGTGTATGAGGGCACTTTGCCAAGTTTGTGAGAAAATCCCATGAGCTCTTCATCCCATTCCCGTCGATCATCCACTCATCTACTGTATTTTGATGCAGATAGTAGCGTGTGCCTTCATGTTCGTTTGCCAACCAGTCATTCTCCCCAGGAGGAAGTACCCTTATGCCAATATTTTACATATCTTATAAATGCTTTTGACAGATTTTCCAAATCCTATAAAAAAATAGCAATTATAAAAATACCTCCAGGAGGAGGGAGCGGTTGATAGAGCTGGTATGCATTATGAGGGCAAATATATGGCCATCATTAATCCCCCCACAATTCTTACTCTGGATGATTTCAATGCAATGCCAGTAATTTATGGTGGGAAGAGTTGTTCAGGTAGATTACACCTGGTCCTCTGCTTCCAGGTTGCCTCTGTTGCTGGTGTTAGGTGCCATCAAGTCAGCTCCGACTCGTAACCACCCTGTGTACAACAGGACGAAACAGTGTCTCTTCTTGTGACATCGTCACAACCGTTCTCTTATTGAAACCATAGCTTCAACCACTATGTCAGTGCGTCTTGTTGAAGGTCTTCCTCCTTTTCACTACCCCTCCCCTTTACCAAGCCATGGTGTCCTTTTCCAGGGACTGGTCTCTCCTAATAACATAATGTCTCCAAATAATGATGAAATCTCGCCATCCTTGCTTGTAAGGCATGTTCTGGTTGTACTTCTTTGAGATGGATGTGTTTGTTCTTTTGGCAGTCCAGGATACTTCCAGTATTCTTCACCACCACCATAATTCTTCTCTGATCTTCCTTATCCTGTGTCCCACTTTCACATTCATGTGAGGTGATTGAAAAATGCCGTGGCTTGGGTTAGTTACTTCTGTTGGGAATGACTCAAATTACCAATGATTGGTTAGCAACCCAGTGCTTAACCATTTGTACTACCAACACGAAGACCTCTCCAAATAAATGGAAGCTATAAGGGATCAGACTTCAGCTTGAAAGAAGGAACTTTTGCATAACCCAGGGTGTTTGGGGGTAGGATGAACTGCATCAAGAACAGAGAGGTCTCTTATGAAAAGTGGGGGGCATATGAAGGTCTCATACTTTCCAGGTTTATTGAGAGTCTTAAACATTTGACATAGTGATCTTGGTCAAGGGACTTTTAATTTGAGATTCTGGCTTATTCATTCAAATAAATTCTTTATTGAGCACCTGTGTGTGTTAGGAGCTGTCTAGACTTTGGGAAGACACTAGTTAACGGGATCCAGAAGCCCTTGCTCTCACACAAGGTACACTGCTGTGATTGTTGTTCGGTGCCGTTGAGATGGCTCTGGCTCATAGTGACCGAATACAACAGAATAACATACTGCCCTGTCCTGCACCGTCCTCCCAGTTGTTCTTATGTCTGTTTGAACCCATTGTTTAGCCACTGTGTAATCCATCTCATCAGAGTCCTTCCTCCTTTTTTGCTGCCCCTCTACTTTACCAAGCATGGTATTCCCCAGGGATTGGTCTCTCACGACAAGATGTCCAAAGTAGGTGAGATGAAGTCACACTATACTTTGCTCCAAGGAGCATTCTGGTTGTACTTTGGAAAAAGATTTGTTTGTTTTTCTGACAGTGCATGATACTGTCAATATTCTTCTCCAGTTTGCAGTGTAGAATGAGAAGCCAATAAGCAAAAGAAATGACCTACCTGATTTCTTGTGAAGGAAATAAAAAATGAAGATGGTCTGAGTTAATGCCCATTGTTTCCTGAATGTGGATGAAAAAGTACCAGTGGTATGAAAATACAGGGATGGTGCATTTAGGATGGGGGAATAATTAATACCAGCAATCATAAAGCTATGCACAGCTGGAGGTGTTCAGAAAATTGGGAGCAAAAGAAAGAAATTTGTGTAGCCAGACACAGTACTTAAGGAAAGGGATGCTGGGACATAGATTAGAGAGGAGGCAGGGGTGTCACATTGGGACTTTTTGGCCATGCAGAGGGTTTAGATTTGGCTCTAAGTGGGAATCAGTTGGAAGATCTTAAGAAAGGAAGAGAGACCATCAGATTTGCATTTTGTAAAGACTGTCTGCTGCTGGTTAGAGACTAGACTTTGGGGGACCAGGAGGAACAGGAGGGGAACACAGAAATGAGAGATGATTGACAATGGCTTACACAAGACTGGCAGCAGGAAAAAAAGGAGACAAGTGATGGATGTATTTTGAGGGAGAACCATAAGGCCTTGTTGATGAATATAGATGGGGGTGGAGGAAAATAGACACTTCAAAGATGGCACCATGTCTTTTTGCTTTGCGCAGCTGCGTGGGTTGTGAGGAGTATGTACTGAGATGGGACTAAGACTCAGGCGAAACAGGGAAGAATTTTATTTTGGCCAAGTAAATTTTGAGGTGTCTTTTAGACCTCTTAAGCCGGGATGTCAAATGTTGAGTTGTGGCATAAATTTGGATTTCAGAGTATAGATGCTGTTTAGAATTGCAGACCTGTGATAGTCACAGTGAACAGAGTTCAGGGAAGAGAGGTGCGGCCCTAAAACTGTAGACTTTGGGGAGAGCCAGGAAGAAACCAGCAGAGTTGGAGGAGTGAATGCTGGCATAAGAAGGAAAAGCAGGATATGGTGGATTTTCCTAAATTAAAAAAGATGTTTCAGAAATTAGTTACGGCGCTAACTGTGCCTAATGCTGCCGAGAGGCTGAGTAAGACAGAGGCTGAGAATCAGACTTGGCAAAGTGGAGATCACAGATAACTGAAAACTGTATCCATGTGCGAAGTAGAAGACACATTGGAGGGAGGGAGAACCATCTACTGCCATCACAGGCTCCTACTCATTTCTGCTTACGTTAGTGACCAGGACTAAGGTGTAGCTGTATGCCTGGTCCCACACCACCCTTACTATTGTTAAGTTGGGCCCGGTGTTAGAGCCGCTGTGCCCGTCCATTTTATCAGGAGCTAGTTTCACGCTGACCCTCTACCAAGCGTGATGACCTTTTTCAGTTACAGGTCTCTTCTGATAACATGTCTAACGTACACGAGACAAAGTCTCATCAGCCTCTCTTCCAAGGAGCACTCAGGTGACCCCAAGATCAGTTTGTTTGTTTTTATGTCGGTCCATGGGGCTTTGGTGTTCTCTTCCAGCAACAACCTTCAAATGCGTCGGTTCCACCATCTTGCACCTTGTCCAGCTTTCACATGCGTCTGAGACAAGTGGCAATACCATGGTTTGTATCAGGAACCTGCACTTCAGTCTTCAAAGTGACATTGTTCTTTAGGACTTCACACGTGTCTTTTGTGGCAGAATTTCCCAGTGCAGCACAGTGCTGATTTCTTGACTGCTGTTTCCTTGGCTACACCTAGCTGCTCGGAACGCTGAAAGCATCTCTAGCTGGATTGTTGTGTGCTCACAGAAACTGGCGTTTGCTTCATCTGAGAGAGGGAAGAACCGATACTTGTAGGCAAGTAGCCGGCTACTGTAGCAGATTCAAAGAAATGGGGTGTGGGGGTGGTGGTGTGTGTGTGTGTGTTACTGTGGCAGATTCAAAGAAACGGGTGTGTGTGTGTGTGTGTGTGTGTGTGTGTGT